AAAAAAAAAAAAAAAAAAGTTAACCTTTGTGGGCGGCGCCGGTGGCTCAAAGGGTAGGTGGGTTCAAACCCAGCCCCAGCCAAAAAAAAAGTTCACCTTTGAGTGGCACCTGTGGCTCAAAGGAGTAGGGCGCTGGCCACATATACCGGAGGTGGTGGGTTCATACTCGACCTTGGCCAAAGGCTGCCAAACAAGCAAAGTTATTTAAAAAGTTAACCTTTGCAAACTCACTGCCAAGTAAACAAAAATTAACCATTATTATGATTATTGTCATTCCCATTCTGCTCCATTAAACCAGGACTTTTGGCTTGTTCACTGTTACATTCTCCCTGTGCAGAGGACATTATAAATGTTTAAGAACAATTTGTCGAGTGAATGAAGGAATGCGGGAAGAGCAGTCACTTGTTCAGCTCTTAACAACCTGCCTCTTCCCAACAATCTCTCTCCTTCCCTGAGTCTTTTCCCAGTGGAGTCATCCCCATCTTCACTTGGCCCAGGTCGCATCCTCCTTCCCCCACTTTGGTGCCTGCTCTTGCTTCTGTGCACCCAGAAGGCCTCCAGGGAAGTGAGGAGCTGCCTCCCACTGCTGCTGTTCTCAGCAATGCAGCTCCCAGGCTCTGCAGTAGAGTGGGAGGCAGCCATGCCTGCGACTGCAGCTTTGGCCGGGGCTCAGGAACACAGAATGTGCCCCCAAGGAGCTCAAATGCAAAGGGCTCCACCCACCTCCTAGGGCAGCCTCATTTCGGGAAAGGGAAAGGTGTGGCTCCCCAGCCACTCCAGTAATTCCCAGACTGAGAGGCAAAGAGACTCAAGGAAGGTTAGGAAAATGAAGCCCTCAGTGCAGTTTGTCAGCAGCAGACAAAAATAAAAAAACATGTAGTTTTCTACCCTACCTGTTCCTACTGTCTGGGGTACACAGAGTCATCTTTTTTTTAATTTTATTGTTTAATTATTATTATTATTCTTATTTTGCAGTCTTTGGCCAGGGCCAGGTTCAAACCCACCACCTCCAGTATATGGGGCTGGCGCCCTGCTCCTTTGAGCCACAGGCCCTGCCCTAATTATTTATTTTTGTTTTGTTTTGTTTTTGTTTTTTGGAGACAGGGTTTCACTTTGTTGCCCTCAGTAGAGTGCTGTGGCACCACACCTCACAGCAACCTCAAACTGTTGGGCTCAAGTGATCCTCTTGCTTCAGCCTGTCAAGTAGTTGGGACAACAGGAACCCTCCACAACGCCCGGCTATTTTTTAGAGCCGAGGTCTCACTCTAGCTCAGGCAATCCGCCCATCTCAGTCTCCCAGAGTGCTGGGATTATAGGTTGAGCCACGGTGCCCGGCGAGCTATCTTTTTTTATTAAAAAGTTCTAATTTGGGTGGTGCCTGTGGCTCAGTGAGTAGGGTGTCAGCCCCATCTACTGAGGGTGGTGAGTTCAAACCCAGCCCTGTCAAAAACTACAACAACAAAAAAAATAATAAATAAAGTTAAAAAAAAAAAAAGTTCTGATTTTAGGCGGTGCCTGTGGCTCAAAGGAGTAGGGCACTGGCCCCATATGCCAGAAGTGGCTTGGTGCCTGTGGCTCAAGTGGCTAAGATGCCAGCCGCATACACCTAAGGTGGCAGGTTCGAATCCAGCCCGGGCTCGCCAAACAACAATGACGGCTGCAACCAAAAAATAGCCGGTCATTGTAGCAGGCGCCTGTGGTCCCAGCTACTTGGGAGGGGAGGCAGGAGACTCACTTGCGCCCAGGAGTTGGAGGTTGCTGTGAGCTATGATGCCACGGCACTCTACCCAGGGGGACAACTTGAGGCTCTGTCTCCAAAAAAAAAAAAAAAAAGAAAAGAAACACACTCCCAGGGTGTGAGGGTCCAGGTCTGAGGCTGCTTCTTGGAGGAGGTAAGATGTGTAGCTGATACTGGTAGCAGGAAATCCCTCTGGGAGCCAGGACTGCCCATGGGGATATCTTAGGTTGGGTTCCCTAGATGCAGCGATCAAGACAAGGATTCCTCTGCAAATGATCTCCAGGGGAGTGAAAAGAGCAGGATAGGGAAGAGAAGGAAACCCAGCAAAGATGTGAGCTCACCTAAGTGTAGCTTCAGTCTGATCCTACAGAGAACTCTAGAGCATAAAATGCATCACAAAGTTTATCCCTCTCAGAAGCAATGGAGCAGGACTTTGTACCCTGTATCAGCCACTGGGAGGTGGGGGAAGGAGAAACTGAACTTCCAGGCATCCCTATTCACGGTAGTAGATCGTTTTTAATCTTGTTGTCACAATACTGCAACAAGTATCCTTCTGTATAGGAAACTTTGTTGTTGTTTTGAGACAGAGTCTCTCTCTGTTGCCCTGGGTAGAGTATCCTATGGACATCAAGCCTGACAGCAACCTTAAACTGATGGCCTCAGGCTATCTTCTTGCCTCAGCTTCCTGAATAGCTTGGACTACAAATGCCTGCCACCATACCCAGCTACTTTTTTCTATTTTTAGTAGAAACACTCTTGTTCAGGCTGATGTCAAATTCTGAGTGAAGCTGCGAGACATTGGCAACCAACACTCAGGAAAGCCAAAAATGGGTGCGTCATCTCTGTAAAGGGATGCTCCAGGGTTGGAGAACAGAGGATGAAGGGGGACTCAAGAAATGGAAATTGAGTGAAGAAAACGGGGAGAGGATACTAAACTCTCCTTTTGGGTCTTCCAAGGAGAAAATGAAAAAAAAAAAAAAACTGAAAAAAAAATTGGTATTGTTTGGGTCTGTTTGTTTGTTTTGAGACATAGTCTTACTTTGTTGCCCTGGGTAGAGTGCCATGGCATTATAGCTCACAGCAACCTCAAAGTCTTGGGCCCAAGCAATCCTCTTGCCTCAGCCTCCCAAGAAGCTGGGACTACAGGCACCTGCCACAATGCCTGGCTGGTTTTTTGTTGAGGTTGTCATCATTGTTTAGCTGGCCTGGGCCAGGTTCAAACCTGCCAGCCTTGGTGTATGTGGCTAGCACTGTAACCACTGTGCTACGTTTCCCAAGCCTGGTAGATTGTTTTTTTTTTGTTTGTTTGTTTGTTTGAGACAGAGCTTCAAGCTGTCACTCTGGGTAGAGTGCTATGGTGTCACAGCTCACAGCAACCTCTAACTCCTGGGCTTAAGCAACTCTCTTGCCTCAGCCTCCCAAGTAGTTGGGACTACAGGCGCCTGCCATAACACCCAGCTATCTTTTGGTTGTAGTTGTCATTGTTTGGCGGGGCCTGGGCTGGATTTGAACCGACCAGCTCTGGTGTATGTGGCTGGCGCCCTAGCTGCTTGAGCTACAGGCACGGTGGTAGATCGTTTTTTAATCTTGTTCTCACAATACTGCAACAAGTATCCTTCTGTATAGGAAACTTTGTTGTTGTTGTTTTGAGACAGAGTCTCACTCTGTTGCCCTGGGTAGAGTATCCTATGGACATCAAGCCTGACAGCAACCTTAAACTGTTGGCCTCAGGCTATCTTCTTGCCTCAGCTTCCTGAATAGCTTGGACTACAAATGCCTGCCACCATACCCAGCTACTTTTTTCTATTTTTAGTAGAGACAGGGTCTCACTCTTGTT